TCGTCATCGTCACCGGCTGCTTTTCCTACTACCAAGAGGCCAAAAGCTCCAAGATCATGGACTCCTTCAAGAACATGGTGCCCCAGGTAGGAGCCCCGGGGGGGCACACGGCACAGGGGTCCCAGGTGGGGTGGGGGGTGCCTGGGCATCCCTCAGGGTGCCCTGTTGCCCCGGCAGCAAGCGCTGGTGATCCGCGAGGGCGAGAAGATACAGATCAATGCGGAGAACGTGGTGGTGGGCGACCTGGTGGAGGTGAAGGGGGGGGACCGGGTGCCCGCTGACATGCGCATCATCTCCTCCCACGGCTGCAAGGTGAGCGGGCACCCGCGGGCACTGGGGCTGGCACGGGGTGGGCACTGGTGGTGGTACGGGATGGGCACCAGGACTGGCATTGAGCGGGCACTGGGGGTGGCATGGTTCAGGCATCGTGGCTGGTATGGGGTGGGCACCACAGGTAGCGGGGAGTGGGCACTGGGACCAGTATGGACCAGCATGATGGTGGGCACTGTGGAGGGCACGGGGTGGGCACCAGGGGTGGCATGGGGACAGTGGGGCTGGCCCGAGTCCAGCCGAGCCCGGCGGTGCCCTGTGCCCGCCGGCACCCACCCGTGCCCGCGGCACCAGGTGGACAACTCGTCGCTGACGGGGGAGTCGGAGCCGCAGACCCGCTCGCCCGAGTTCACCCACGAGAACCCGCTGGAGACCCGCAACATCTGCTTCTTCTCCACCAACTGCGTGGAAGGTGGGTCCCCGGAGGTCCCTGCCCGCGTGGGGAGGGGGGGGGCGGGTCCCTGGTGCCCCCTGGGACTGCGTCACCCCTCCCTGTCCCGCCAGGCACCGCCCGTGGCATCGTCATCTCCACGGGGGACCGGACAGTGATGGGGCGCATCGCCTCGCTGGCCTCGGGGCTGGAGGTGGGGCGCACGCCCATCGCCATGGAGATCGAGCACTTCATCCGCCTCATCACCGGCGTCGCCGTCTTCCTCGGCCTCTCCTTCTTCATCCTCTCTCTCATCCTGGGCTACACCTGGCTGGAGGCCGTCATCTTCCTCATTGGCATCATCGTGGCCAACGTCCCCGAGGGGCTGCTGGCCACTGTCACGGTAAGGACCACCGGGGGAGTGGAGGGGTAGGATGGTGCAGGGGGGGCTCTGGTTCTACCGGGAGGGAGGTGGTGGGGACTGGTTTTACTGGGAGGGAGGTGGTGGGGACTGGTTTTGCTGGGGAGGTGCGGTGGGGGCACTGGTTCTACTGGGAGGGAGTTGTTGGGTGCTGGTTCTGCTGGGCTGGCCCTGGTGCACCCAGCAATGCCTGGTGCCTGGTGCTTGCTGACACCCATGGGTGCCCTCCGAGCCCCGTGGGTGTCCGCTGAGCCCCGCGGTGACCCCCAGGTGTGCCTGACGCTGACGGCCAAGCGGATGGCGCGCAAGAACTGCCTGGTGAAGATCTTGGAGGCGGTGGAGACGCTGGGCTCCACCTCCACCATCTGCTCCGACAAGACGGGGACCCTCACCCAGAACCGCATGACCGTCGCCCACATGTGGTTCGACAACCAGATCCACGAGGCCGACACCACCGAGGACCAGTCGGGTGGGTGGTTGGCAGCCTGACACCCTGACCCCCCCCCCAACCCCAGGAGCACCCTCTTTCTTGCCCCTGCACCCAGATGTCACTCCCCTGAGCACTCCGACCCCCTGAGCACTCCGACCCCCTGAGCACCCCAACCCCAGGAACAACCCCTTTCTTGCCCCTGCACCCAGATGTCACTGCCCTGGCACCCCTTCTCCTGGGCACCCCCTTGCCTTCAGCACCCCCTTCCCTGGGCACCTCTGGGAGCGCGGGAGGTGTCCCCAGAGAAGACGGGGGAGCCCCAGCACGACTGATGGGGCCGGGTGTCCCCCAGGTGCCACCTTCGACAAGCGCTCGCCCACCTGGACGGCGCTGGCACGCATCGCCGGGCTCTGCAACCGCGCTGTCTTCAAGCCAGGCCAGGAAAACATCTCCATTTCCAAGGTAGGTGGATGCTGACCGCCCAGAACCCCCAGAATCCTACCGAGAGCCGGGGCAGTGCCGGCCTCGGTGCCCCCCGTGCCGCCGGCATCACCCTCAGCACCCTTCCCCACGCCAGCGGGAGACGGCAGGCGATGCCTCGGAGTCGGCGCTGCTGAAGTGCATCCAGCTCTCCTGCGGCTCCGTCAAGAAGATGCGGGACAAGAACCCCAAAGTCACCGAGATCCCCTTCAACTCCACCAACAAGTACCAGGTCTGCCGGGCCGGTGGTGGCGACGGTGACCCCAGGACGGTTGGTCGGTGCCACCCGGTGCCAGCGTGTCCGCTGTGCCCGCAGCTCTCCATCCACGAGCGGGAGGAGGACCCCCAGGGGTACCTGCTGGTGATGAAGGGGGCCCCTGAGCGCATCCTGGCCCGCTGCTCCCGCATCCTGCTGCAGGGCCAGGAGGTGCCGCTGGACCAGGAGATGCGGGAGGCCTTCCAGAATGCCTACCTGGAGCTGGGGGGGCTGGGCGAGCGCGTCCTGGGTGAGGACGGGGGGCGTGGGGGGCACG